ACATTATTATATGAAATGAAATGATATTATTACAGAATCTAAACGCTAGATTTCGGGTTCGTGCTAATTTTTCCATAAAATGCAGTAATAATTTAACAATAAAAAATAATTACTTCGGAAATCTCATCGACTCACAGAAACCGCAAATGAATAAACAAATATTTAGCAATGATAATTAATAATAGTCACAAACGCATTGAATACATATTTAAGATGTAATCCACCGAATGAATAAATGATTTAATATTTTATGACCCACTAGATCAGATTCATCCAGTGAATTATAAGAAAAATCATATCGATATTTTTTTCTCGAGTTAATTTACAAGTTAACCGATATGGAATAGCCTCGTTGTCGGTTTTATTTGTGATTATTGCTCTCGTTGATTTATACCTGACATCAGTGATATCTTTATGTTGGGGCGAGGTATACAGAATTGCAGTCTGGAATCCCTCCCACAGTAACAGAGACCAAATCATCCCAAGACAATTTCACTTTTTTATACTCTTCCAACTTCTCGCATCTCCCTCTTGGTTACCGCTCCTGAGTCATTCGCCTTGTGTCAGTGAATGTTTTTTCTCTTTTTTTTTTTTTTGAAAAATTTATGAGTCACGTTTTGTATAACATTGACAGTTGGTACCCGACATTTTTCGCTGTCAAGGGCACATAAAGAATGCATTATTCTCGCAGGAACATTTTCATTGGCGGTTAATTTTGTTTTATTTTTTTTTTGTTGATAACTAATTTATTGTCTCGGTTCATGTCGATCTGAGGGCCAAAAAAGACGTAATTCTACCGCTGCCATTTTTTGGGGGGGATTTTGGGGTGATGGAAATTAGGAGGAAGCGGAAAAATGGGAGTGAGTACACTGAGAGAAATATTCAATAAAAATTACGTGTATTTTCCGTAATTCTGGAGCGAAATGTGGTTGTCGGAAATTTTACGGAACTGTCACGTAATTTTTATCTAAAGTCACGGAATTTTTCCGCGTCATTCCGTAATTTTTATCTGAATTATCGGTGAAAAATAACGATACCGTCACTTAAATTTTTCGAATCAACTCCGTAATCGATAAGTGAACTGAAAGTTCCGTAATTTTTACTAAATATTTCTCTCCGTGTATAAAAATGGAAACAATATTTTTATATTCAAAATGGAAAATTATTGTTTCCATTTTTTCAAATTAATCGTGAACAATTGACAATTGACTTGACGCATTGTAGTGACATGTTTTGTGATTATCAAGTACTGTATCCTTTTTGTTCTTGTTCCTCAAGGGACCACACACGTTAGAGAATCGGTTACGACGTCAGGATGTTGTACTCGAAAACGTGACGCTCTGTCCTCTTTTCCACCGTGACGAGCCCTAGGGGCAAACGCCGGGGTTTTTTTGCAGAAAATATTATAGTTTTTCATGGACTATTTTACACCCACATGCCATTTTCTGGTCGTTGATCAGTCGATTGCAGGTGTCACGCGATGGCGGAAAAATAAATGAACATTTTTCACGATCTGATAAAAGTTTTAAACTTTATTTTCAGGTCTCGATGCTGGAAAGTTTTATTAGCTTGAAAATCAGGGGAAAATTGATTTCTCAGATCAATAGAATTCAATGATTTCCGGGGGATAATTATTAGAAGAATATTGTTAATTTATGGAATATTATTAATTTATGGAATATCGTTAATTTATGGATTTTGTATTATTGATTTTTCCGGGACCAATGATTTGGTGATTAAAATTAGGGATTAATTAGTGAGCATTAAGGAATCACGGAAATATAAAAAATCTTTTCTGTTGTGAAATCGATTCTAGAAATCAATTCCAGAAGATGAAACAATTTTTACACATTAATTTACAGATGAAATATGTGGATAACTCCACTTGATTAAATCGTGAGAATAATTAATGGGAGAAAGAATTGGCGATTAAATTTCGATGAAATACCTCGTGCATTGTCGGGTCGAGCATGAGAATAAACCATGAACTATCAGTTCTAACGAATGGTAAGAATCATCGATTTATTAATTCGATAAATCACAATTGAACGAGTGAAACGATGAAAATAAAATTCCTATTAACGTCAGGAGATACAGCATCGATGGGAACATGTCTAACTTATACGACTCTCATTATTCGATTAGTAATAATTCCATTAAATTCACAACAACAAAAAAATTCAAGATGATGAAATGAACGGAGAAGTAATGAAGAAGTGAAACGAAATACTTTTAAATGGTGATTACGAAACGACAGGCTTTATCTTGATTTATTCGTTGATTATACATCCCACTTCTCCCTTTCTGTGGGACTCATACCCCTCTCTCACCCAATGAAATAAAACGAGGGTTCAACCATTCTTTCTCAGACTTTATCGCAATGACATTCAGCCATGGTGAGAGACTGGTTTAACAATTTTTCATTAATTGCTGAATAACTCTTTACGCTCGATTAGACTCGTGTTGCATTTTCCGTAATAGAAATCGGCCAGATAAGACTATCTTATTTTAGTCGTTTAACATTTTTCTTTTCTGTTTTCGCGTTTAAATGGCTTTTTCAACAGTAAACACGTGGGAATTTAATGAATAAATATCGTTCGAGCTCGATTTATTGGATTTATATCCAGAATTAGAATTGAGTCAGGAAACACCGGATATTTAATCTATTTTTATAGTCAGTGATTTATGGAGAAACCAATTCCTTGATCTCTGCAAAAATTTGAAAATCTCGAACTCATTTTTTTAAATTGTATTCGTTACATAGAAATAATGTGCATATAAATAATATATACATATATAAAATTACGGTTGAGTTTTCTTACTCTCTCTTTCTCTCATTCTTCTGTGTAATTAATCAATTATGCAGATTAATTAATAATGAATTGATTCATTTTCCTGAATTAATTTCTGAGATTTAAATAATTAATGGATAATCACTAATTATAGTCTTTCCGTTACAAAATAATTATATAAAAAATCTCTCATTGATCAACCAAAAATATAAATGAATAAATGATTTGGTATTTTATGGCGCAATTATTCTTGTGGATAATTAATTAATTAGGCAGAGTAACTAATGGTAATGGAGTGATTGAATGTTCTCAATGAATTTCTGACGAAATTAAGGCGTGGGAATGAAGCAGAGATGAATCAAATGGATTCAAACCCATTTAGGAGATCATTGGTACCTATTGGATTGCTCCACTATGATACATAGGTCATCATCCAATGACGCTGGGATATTAATTGCGCGAGGATCTGGGTGATTTATGCTGGGCAATTACCGGGATAGCTATTCCGCTGCACTAACGGCAGAGGTAACATCGAACTGGTTATTAATTCATCAACAATTGGCAGAGATACTCTGCCCTCTACCACTTCCCTCCCACCTCCACCCACTTCACCGCTTTTCCCACGATATACAATTGGCCATTGTCATTCTATATTTCTGCTGGATATTTTTGAATGGAGAGGTAGAGCAGATGATGACACTTGTTGCTCGATGACCCCAGGGTTCACATGGAAATTTACCGAAAAATAGATTTTAAATTGTAATTTCTCCCGGGAATTTTCACAAAAACAATAGAACTTTAGGGAGAGACTATAATACTTTTCCGGAATTTTCTATAAATTTTGAATAGCCAATTGTTTATTTATTTATTACGTCCAGCATTTTAGAATAATTGATTTACGGAGTTTTTTATGGAGAATGAATGTGGAATTTTTTAAAATTAATATTTCATTAAAAATGACAAAAATTAGGTAATTATGGTCGTTATATTGTTTAGAGAGAAAATATTCCATTGATTTTCGAATTTTTAAGTGAAATCCCGTGATTTTTTATCTGTCCATCAAATGAATATTTTTTCTAAAAAGCCTGAGGCCATAAAAAAATATTATCCTACCGGAGATTCCTTTCCAGCTGAACTAGCAGTTCAGAAAGAGAATGAATTTTTTATTTTCATTCATCGACTGGTCGGTCAATCCGATCAGAATAAAAAAAAAAAAATGAAACAACGAGGACTCATGTATGGAGCAGGCGAGAGCCATCCAAACGAGATTGGTAACGTTTTAGTGGTGTACCACGGGTGTAGCAGTTGCACACTCACCACTAGTACCGCTGACAAAATCATGAGCCACTTGTTGATCCCCTGATGACCATTCGTGGCTTGCCAAATCGCCCTGTTGTCCGAAACAGTCGCTATCGAGTTTTCACCCACCACGGATTCATCGAGTTATACTTTCATGCTATCATCATTTGCTCGTGTGAATGTTGGCGCTGGGATAATAATAGAAGTAGTTATTTTCGCTTTTCGTGACATTTGAAATATGGAAGTGTCTGAGATGCGGTTAAACATTCAGAATGATGTCGTGTGGTGGCGAGGAGGTTGAACCGTATTTGAGAATAGATGGGTAATTTGAAGGGTACGATGATCAATTCAATTTATTTCCTGCAGATTGTACCAAGAGAATGATTTGTAGCTCGACAATATTCATATTTAAACGTTGAAAGTACAGCAGTTGTGAAAGATTTATGGGGATGTCAAGGGAGGAGATGGTGAACGTCTGATTTGGAACGAACGAGTCATTTGAAAGGTACAATGATCAATTCGACAAGACGGTAGAGCTCCAAAAATGGCACTCATTAGATTCTGTATATCTCAGAAAATAATTGGCTCAGACAAAAATGTCAAAGGACTTTTTTTTAGCTCGTGGAATTCCCTGCGAAAGCTATCTTATGTATTTTTATTTAAAACCCCACGCTTTCGCCGAAAAATCCATTAAAACCGTTGGATCGATTCCATCGCCTCCTCGATTGCTTTCTGATTATAATTTTCCCCATTGGAAAAATCAATGATCATTGGCTTATTAATCCCCCCCAGTAGAGCACGACATATAAATCACTGCCATGATTAACAATAATTCTCGTGGAGTGTTGATAAATACACGTGTTAAGAATTTTTTTATCACTTACCAAGATGTCAGAGTGGTCTTTACACTCGACTTGGGAGAGAAACGATAGTGCCTGGAGGGTATTCGAGGAATAATGGCCAGTGGATGCATTGAGAAGTCTTGTTTTTCACTTGGACCTCAGTACACCTCTGTACACTCCCCTGAGGTGGCAATGATGCAATGGCCTCGATGCCCAATTACTCGTGTCCAACGTCGATAAACAGGGTGTTGGGTGATTTAATGGGGTTGACGCAAGGTGCAAACCTCTTCCTGGATACTATCGGTTATTTTTTTTTTTTTACTTATTTCATATTTCACTGGAGTCATTCTCGGGTGGAATATGCACTTTGCTTGTTAGGGGACTCCACAGACTCGAGAATTCCCGTTTCTGGCCCCAACGAGATTCAACACGAGTTCCAGCTGGCGTCCAGCTGTTCCAAGGTACTGGTGTAGCTTCCTTGCGACAACCTGGGATGTATAACGTTTGGGTGAGACAAAAGGCTTAGGTAGATTATATCTTTTTATGGGGCTTTGGGTAATGAGAGTTATGGCGATGATGGGATGCTTCACGTACAGGTGGTTGTGAATGGCTTTTAGATGCTGAGATTGATGATTCTGGAGATCATACCGCATGGGAAAATTTATTTTTCACGATATGTTGAAGGATGTTCTACGCCCTTTTCGGTAAAATTCACCGTTTTTTCACTTTTCTGGAAAACTTTCGATTAGATTTTTCAAGAGATTTTTCAAATTCATTTTTTTAAACAGGAAAACTTGTAATCAATTTTATCACTTCCTGACTGGTTTGAATTTGAAAGTCTCAAACATGAATTATCGATCTACTTTCAATAATAAAATGATATTGACTCAGGTCATTCACACGAGATGCACTTCATATAAATCTCTTACTAATAATGATTAACGATTAAAAGAAACAATTGTCGCAGAACGAATATTGTTTTTCTCTTTTAAACAAATTGTTACGTGAATAGTCCCGTCGATATCTCCTAGAAGAGTTTGCAGATCATAAAATAACTCAAGACTGAAATTTCCAAGTTTTATCACTCAATTCGAAAAATTACGTTAGTCGAAATGAAATCACTCCATTAAACTAAAGTTGTTGAGCATTCACAGAGAATAAACGCCAGAATATGTACCCGTTAAAATCAAGCGTCTCTATTTTTGTCCGGAATTCCACACGATGTAAAAAGACAGCAATTTAAAAAATTTATGATAATAATATTTCATTGCGTAAACAAAACATACCTCGTAATGAGCCCCATAGAAACATGTTCCACGAAAGTGTTTTTTCTCGTTTCGCGGGTAGATTTATGGTCTACCAGGGTCGAATAAACGACGAAGATTTCTCTAATTACAGGTACTGTCAGTGGACTGTACCTGATGATACGTTCGATCGTGGATTTCAAGTTGACTCGCTCATGATATATCGTGAACCTTTACTTTTCCACATTTTTTCGATGATTATTCTTATTTCTATATTCCAACTGTTGAGAGATTTTTTGTTTTCAATTCTTGGGTCATCGTTCGGAAATTCTACCCAGAATATCAAATGTGACAGAAGCCATTCAACTGGTCATTCCGTTGGCGTAATTACGACTCATTATCTAACTCCACTGGGGCCAACGTTGGCCGGGATTGTTGATGTATGTTTATGTAAATTGACTCGTTCGTTCCTCCTCTCAGCTACCTGACTTCAACCTCTCGTAATTTTCAATTTTTTACACCTATAAAAAGACACCCCAGCCCATTAATTATTTTCCACCCAATTATCTCAATTCTTAAAACTTGTTTTCCGGTTTTAACTCGTCAATTTTTTTTTACTTATGGAATTCAATGAAGTTCAGGGAGAGCATTGAGGGAGATTGCTGACCCATTTTTCTCCACTTATTTTTTCACTGTTCCAAAGAATTAAATTTATACTGTGAAAATATTTTTCACCCTGGTAGTCGTATTGCCGGAATTATTCAAGTGGAACGGAATTTTAAAGTCCGATATTTTCTGCGTTTTTATTTTATTGCTCCCAGGAATCTCTTGGAAGAATACAGTCTTTAATTCGGAGGGATTTGTTAACGATTTTGAGAGATACAATTTCCGTGATTACTTGTTTGATTAATTTCCAACGTTTTTATTTATTTTTTATTAATTGTTGATTTAGAGATAATTTGCAGAGTGTTAATATACTTTTTTTTTGCGAGGGCAATGTCTTTTTCTTTCTAGCTATCATTTTTGGAATTTCTGCAACAAACGAATAATAATTACCGATAATTGTCCGCTGTTAAAAATTCCAAGTTTTTTAACTTGAAACTTACAATTGTAATTATTCAATGAGCGCAATTATTGCTCCGTAATAACAAATAATACTTTATTTCCGTGAGTACATAATTCTTTTTCTCTGAATAACTTTCACGTACATTCTGGGACGAATCGGCAGTAGTCATCGGTGATTCAATTACAAAATAAAATATAAATAATGTTATCTATCCACACGATAAATGCAATGAGTCAATAATTATTATTCTATTACTGTTATTTATTGCTCCGTTTCGAGAATTATTATTTGATTTTTTATGAAATTGTCTGCGGAAAAATTCAAGTAAAGTGCTTGATACTTGACTCTATAATTCATAATACGTCAGCTGTTGACTTGGATCACAGCCTCGAGGGGACACTCCGCATAAACCACACCGCTGGCCACAGCCATTATCATGTAAATTACCAGTCCCCAAGAGGTACAACCGAGACGAGATGAAAATTCTTCAAAACCTCACTTGTATCGATTTATCGTGGCATTTGAAAATTCCCCACATTCTCTTTACTCATCTCTCCCTCGCGTGAGTTATCAGGGTCACCTGAAATGATCATGCAGATTAATCGAGTAATAAAATACGAGAATTATCATGTCGTGAAATATTATTAAATTCTTGAATACTTAAGGCCTTCCTTTTTCAATTCGTGGATTAATGAATTCTCTGGTATTCGTGATAATCTCAAGATAAATTTGTTATTTTAAATGAAATAGTTATGGGAAGAGTTTCATGAGATATTCTTAGAAGTACTTCTTGTAAATGACTTTATCAGCTACAAAAACATGTCTCTAGTTTTTTCTTTCCAGGGGATTTTATCGTGGAGAACAAAAAGTTGTGCAGATTCTTTCGTAAATGACTGGAGACCTGCACAAGAAAAACCAACAGGTTTTCAAACGAGTTTTCTTTGAACTCAAAAAATCGTTTTTTCAAAAGTACTGGGCGAATTTTATTTTTCGGTTCAAACCAGAAATAACACACTCTAATTTTTCTTCTCGATTGTTCAATAGCCGAAGATAATAAAACGTTTTTGAAATTGATTCTTCGAGTCAAATATTTTGTCGTTCAAGACTTTCAGATTTAACAGAACAAAAATATTCGAGACAATGATTTAGTTCGAGGAAGACATGTTGGAGAATCCATTCACTTTTCTTTCAATTTAAAATCGAAAATTCCGCAGTAACAAAATAAAAATGAAAATTTAAACCAAAACTATCTCGTCGATCAATCAAACTCTCATTTCCATTTTTCAATAAAAACACAATCTAACGTTATCAAACAGTTATGCGGAGAGGGAAGTGAATATTTCATGAAGATCCCCGATATTTTATGTAGATTTGGATTTGAAATACACTGTAGGCACTTGCTATCGAAGTCTGTCTGCGAAAAATTCCCCGAGAGAGATGAGAGGCCCACCCATGAAATTTTATCGATCTCCACCTCATTGAGATTCATTACGAGCCCACGTATTGGGATATACAATAAACATTTATCCTGGCCCTTCACTCTAAACAGGCAATTACCTTTTTTCCACTCCTCGCCATCTGCTTCAGATGGCCCTTCCCGTGCAGAATAAAGAAGAAACGTTGGATAAAAAAATGATGAAAATTGATAGTAAAAAATTGGAATGTTTTGTGTTACCTGTCGCTGAGGAAAAACGAGAGTTATTCCTCAGCTGGACAAACGAGTGCTCGTTGCCAACTACTAACACAATTGTGTTGTGAGCGGTAAAACACTTGTACGAAGTTTTACGTGTAAATAATATAAAACATCCCACGATGTCAGGAACACTGGCTATCTGTTAGTAGAGTCTGGTGGAGACGAGTTTCTATTTTTCATTCGACTCGGCAGATGAATGGAAATTTATGTCAGAACATTCTCATTACTACAACGGATTTCATTAATTAACAGAAAAACAAGTGGATAATCGCCTTGTATCGGATTGAATATATTTATTATTAATAAATTAGCAATTAACTTCTAAATAAATTTATCCCTTGCTAAATCCTTTTCCTTTTATTCTAGCACTAAGATTGTTTATTAAATTAAACAAATAAAAATCATTCGATATTCTTCGGGCAAGAAACATTGAATAAAAAATCCTATGGATAGTATCGTAGAGCTTATAAACATTCTTAAACATTATCATCACATAATTATCATATCATATCATAATTATGCATTTTTTAGAGGACTTTTTTCTTCAGGACGTGGTAAATCTTTGTACAACAATAGATATTGTTAGATATGTTGGAATATTGTAACACCATTCCAGGACTATGGCGATCATAACCTATCCCACGACGAATCAACATCTCCATGGGTCTGGTACGTGGGGGAAAATAAGTCTCTAGCTCCTGGAGTGGCACGCGACCTCCTCTCATCTCACTCTATCCTCACCCTCTTCCAAAAGCGGATACTCTCTTTAACTTGGAGTAGACACCCAACGGCGTTATAACAACCTCTCTATCTCAGAGGTGCACACGCAACGACAAGCCCGATAAACTGACAAGGGACTCGCGCCTCGTGGATTTATATTATGATACAGATATAAACAGCTAAACTGTGACACTCGTGATGCTCCAGTTGCTCTACACTGTTTGCACATGGAATTTTATTCGCTGGACTGACCTCAACACAACTCCACCAGAGTCTATACCTTCTCATCCCCTGGTCTGGGGCTTCCTCGTTGTACTCCTGGGGGCACATTGAGTTTAATGCGGATTGAGTGGATCATCGAGGCGCGTGCCACC